TTAAACTTTTTAGACTAAAATGATAATAGAATAATAATTAGTAGATGAAACATTAAATTTAACCTATGTGTTATGACAATAACGTATGAATTAATAATTATAACATATTAGTATATTGAAACTCTTGCGCACGCAAACCCTAGCTGTGTGGTAAGTCCTTCCCCTTTGAGTCTCTTCTTCACTTGTGAAGCTTCCCATCCTTTTTTCTTTGCCGATCTTTCCCAATTTTATTATACTTTGAAAACCATAGATTAATCAGAATTGGTTTTTCTCTCTCTTTTTTTTTTTTAGCCAATCATATATTCAAAAAAAAAAAAAAAAAAAAAAAAACAAACAAACAAACAAAATTCGTATGATTGCCCAAGGATTAGGGTTTCACCAAGCCAAGGATGTAGCTGGATATCAAGCAGATGTTGCTTAAGGATAATTCTTGGCCTTACAAGAGGAGGAAAAAGAAATGATGGAATGTTTTCCATCTATCTACAGGTTAAAAACTTAAGACAGACATTGGCGAGGCATTAATTGTAGTAGAGGGATATTGTATTGCTATTGCTTTTATTCTTCTATACTAGGAATGGGTGGTAAGATGGGTGTGGTTATCAATAACCACACTAAGTTCTAACACGGTGTTTTTAAACTCAGACCAACTTGGTGGGTTAAATTGATTAAACCATACTTGGTTATAAATTTCATTTAAGCAATGACATAAACTCATTTGTAGGGTTGATTCTAATAAAACTGGTAAGACCCAGTAAACCTAGAAAATTTAGTGACCCAGTGAACAAATCGGTTCATTGTTTCAAGGAGAAATGGAAGTGAGATGTTGCTGGGTTTTGAACTCTTACCTTCAATTTAAAAATTCAAATGCTTTGCAACATGGACTATATTGGTCTTGATGATATGACTTGCATAGAAATATTATTTATTATAATCTAAGTGATGTAAAGGTATAAAATTAACACCAAATGTTTCGAACTCTCAACCCATTAATCATTAAAAAATACCCTTAACCATCCAACCACTAAGTGTTACCATGCTTATTTAGCATAACATTTATTTATTACATAAAATTTATAGAAGTTTATTTATGACGTTATCTCATCAAACTATATAGTTTTATTGGTCTAACCAATCCAACCAGAATAGGAGGTTAAAATGGGTTGACCTTTGGTTCAAGCTTAAAAATATTATTCCAACATAACCTTTCTATAACATTCATGGCCCTATTAATGCCCTGTAGCTTTTATCAATACCTTGAGCCTCTTAACTCCTAATTATTCATATTCGTCATAAGCAACAACTTTTTGTATTAGTGCTATAAGTACCTTTACAGTGATTTTATTTTTCCTTGTTGCAGCCTGCATGGCAATGCACAGTTGAGAGTTGTAAGCTTCTACCTCTCTTAATAAAACAAAGCAATTTCTATTAAAAAAAAAAAGAAAAGAAAAGAAAAAGAAAAACATAATAGTATATTAATAATGAAGGGCCCTTCATCCTTAATAACAATAATGTATATATGCATTAATAATTAAAACGTATTTTATTACTTTCGAAAATATACCAAGAACTAATTGTGTTCAAAAAAAAAAAAAAAAAGGAAACCAAAGAAAGTGCAGTAACTTCAAGGCCTGGGACACTGCGTTCGAGCTTTCTCCTCCGTCGCCTTTTCTTACTACTCGAGACACATTTTCTTCTTCCGTTTGCTTTATCTATTCTACAAGAACCAGAATCCGATCTGGGTTCCAAGCCCAATTGAGGCCTATATGGAGAATTAGAGATTATGAAATGCAGCATAATCTTTATTCTTCCTTCGTTAAATGCCCATTTTGATCTTTATACTTTGATCAAAAGTCTTTTTAGTCCCTCTACTTAAAAAATCTCTTTTTAATCTTTAAAGTTTGAAATTCGGTCATATTTTAGTTCTTCTGTTAGGTCTTACATATATAATACGTTAGATGATAGAATTTCAAAGTAGAGAGATTAAAAAAAGACTATTTTTAATTTTTTTGGTCTTTCTACTTTGACAAAAAAATCCTTTTTTAATAATCCTCTACTTAAAAAAAAAAAACCTCTTTTTAGTTCTTTTATTTTGGGATTTTTGTTAAAATAATGTGCTACATAATAAAAACTTAATAGAGGGACTTAAAAGGGATGGATTTCAAACTTTAGGGGACCAAAAAAATGTTTTATAAGTAGAATAACTAAAATGGAACTTTTTAGGTTAACTCTCCATTTTGGTCCTCTACTTTAGCAAAAAGCTCCTTTTTGGTCCCTAAAGTTTGAAATCTGACCCCTTTATAATTTTTCTGTTAAATTTTGCATACGTGACACGTTAGATGATAAAAATTTCAAAGTAAAGAGATTGAAAAAAAAGCTAAAAAGAACTAAAAATAGCCCCAATTTAGTCCCTCTATTTTAAAAACAAAAAACCCTTTTGGAGTCTCTTTTCTTTGAAATTTTCGTCATCTAACATCAAAATTTTACTAAAGGACTAAAAATGGACCAAATTTCAAATTTTAGGGATAAAAAAGGTGTTTTTTAAGTAGAGGAACTAAAAAGAGATTTTTTTTATCAAAATAAAGGAACCAAATTGAAGTTTTAACCAATTTTTTATTAAATTAGAGGGACCAAATTGGGGTTTAACCTTTTTCCTTTCGTTAATAAATTTTCCATTTCCAATAAAAAAAAAAAATTATGTGTTCTGAAAATCCCAACCGAAATATATTTCTAGAATAAATTTTGGTTAATCGATTCATGATTAAGTTCGATTCAATACAATAATTAATCAAATTCAATTTTTTAATTAATTTTTTAGTTGATTTATTTATTTATTTGACATAACAAATAATTTTTTTTGGAATAGTGGTAAACAGAGATATTCATATTCAATTCAATTCGATTGATTTGATTTAAATTGATCCGATCTAATTAAAAACCAAACCAAATGAGTATAAATTGAATTGGTTTAAATTATAAAAAAATTAAAACCAATATAATTGGTTTGATTTATAATTTTACTTTCAAATTATTTGAATCATCCAATGACAATATAAAGCATGAGTATAAAATAATATAATATGCTTTCCATTGTATTTTAAATTTTATTTTTCTTATTTTACAAAATAATAATTCCATTAACTTAGTTAAAAAAAAAAAATAGAGTATCCTCGTATTTCCTAATTTATTTTTCCTTCTTAATTATGCACTCGAATCTTAATTTTAAAATTTTAATTTGCCTATAACTTTACCCCCTCAAAATTAATTTACGATTCTACTGTTAGAACCCTAAATTTTTAATTTGTTCTTAAAATAATATTCTGATTCTTCTAACTAAGCCTTAATAAAGCATTATTTCAAAAGTTTTAAAACTTCATAATATAGTTAGTCTTAATATTCTATTATTTTTGAATGTTTAGTTAAGAAATTTTAAATCTTAATTATGAATGCTTCTAATTAACTCTAGTAATATTCATTTTAAATTTTATTCACTGTTAACAAGATTTGGAAAATGAGATAGAGTTATTGGGGGCATTAAGAAAAAAAAAATTTAATTTTAATTTTTAAAAATTACTTGCATTGTACTTGAAACTTAGACTGATCTTTTATTACTCTTGGTACTTTTGGTGACGTAACCAATAAGAATTTTTAGATTTTTTCAATCTTTATAATTATAAAGGAGTATAAGAATTTTTTTTTATAATTTATACCTTTTTTAACTATATTTCTATTGATTTGGATGTCGATGTGTTTTATAATTATATTTTCTATTTGGTATTAAATTTTTTTACATTATCTTATATATTTAATAGTATTAAGAACCAATCAATTTGGTTAAACCATACCAATTCGATTTAAGTTGAATTAATTTGATTATCATATAATAGTAGATTAATTGATTTAAATTTTTTATTAATCCATTAAATTAGATTTATTTAAAAAATATTAAAATTCAAACTTAACCACACCATCAACACCCTTAGTGCTAAACTAGAAAGTAAGGTAGATTGGAATAAAAGCTTCAAAACTGGGATAATTTTATATTTTTTAATAAAAAAAAGTATCTATTAGTTAAATCTCTAAAAATTAAAAAATATATATTAAAATTATATTATTTTGATAAATTTTTATTAAAAAAGGACTAAAGGTGATGCTCCCTTATAAAAAATTTGGTTGATTTCAGATATTCGGTTAACTAGCTTTTCTCTTCCTATCATTTTTCTAATTGATAAGATCCACTGAAATCTTAAAATTCTTCAAGTTAACCAAACCGAATCTTAATTCAGTTCCAAAAACCAGATAATTCATGTTTACCGGAAAGATGCTAGCCTTACAAGAAAACAATTAGGCTCAAGGGAGGAGGGTATGTCAAATTATAAATTTCAAAATTTTATTAAAAATCATAATAAAATTAAAACAAAACTTACACAAAGTAATATTTTATTTTGAAACTAACCCTTGCCTTATTATTAAGTCTTGGCTTCATTTAATTTACATTCTTAAGTTTTTTTTTTTTTAATTTATGGAATAGTATTATTTTTATTTTTTTTGATGTTCAACTTTCTCAAGTGAAATTCGTGAAAATTCAGCCTTTAGCCTTGGTACAAAATGATTATGATAGATGTTTTTTCCCTTTCTGATTTTTCTCTTCATAAAAAAAAATCTCGATTAAGATTTTTAAATTCTCTTAATATATTGGCTCGAAGGAAAGCAAATTATACCCAAAAAATCCTTTTACTTGGGGGGACACCCCATGATTAATTATTGAGTAAATAAGAGCTTTTCATTTTCTTGCTAAAAATAGGGACATTTCTTTCACTTTGTAGACCATAGAAAACACAAATGCCCAGTGGGATCGGATTGCCATTAAATTATTACTGACTTCCCTCCATCAGCCTCCTTTCCTCTATTCCAATCAAAAAGAAAGCAAAATGCATTTCTGCTGATTTTCTCTTAAAAAAAAAAAAGTGATCATATAAAATCACATAAGAAACAAAGGCAAAGCAAAAGGGTGTTGTAATGACGATGAGTCTGATTGTAGTTGTGGTGCCGATCTGATGTAGAAGAAGCATGCTTAAAACTTGTGGAACAAAAGCAAAGAAGAGGTGGTGATTGTGCAGGAGACAACAATCTGGCAATAACCAAAAATGGACCTGGTCTCAACGACAGCCAACAAATCAGACGACACTATAGTCTGCTATGCACCAACCATGATAACCACCAATGGCGTATGGCAAGGAGACAACCCTCTAGATTTCTCTCTCCCTCTCTTCATTTTGCAATTAACTTTGGTTGTAATTGTCACCCGCATTCTGGTTTTCACCCTCAAACCCTTTCGCCAGCCGCGAGTCATTTCAGAGATTCTTGTAAGTATTATGCAAAATCGATCCTTTGATGCTGGAAATGCATTCTTATCACAAAGTTTTGCTAATGGTGTTTTTTTATTTTCCTACAAAATTAAAAGGGGGGTATAGTTCTAGGTCCATCTGTGCTTGGAAGAAACCAGGGATTTGCCAATAAAATCTTCCCCCTCAGGAGCGTAATGGTGCTGGAGACAATGGCAAATGTGGGTCTTCTTTACTTCCTCTTCTTGGTCGGAGTAGAGATGGATATTTCGGTGATTCGTCGGACTGGAAAGAAGGCATTGGCTATTGCTGTTGTGGGCATGATCTTACCCTTCGTCGTTGGCGCCTGTTTCTCCTTCCTTCTGCCTTCAAAAATGCATGTAACCACGCAGGGAACTTTCATTCTTTTCCTTGGCATTGCTCTCTCTGTCACTGCATTCCCTGTGCTAGCTCGAATCCTTGCTGAGCTCAAACTCATCAACACAGAAATAGGCAGGCTCGCCTTGTCTTCTGCTCTTGTTAATGATATGTGTGCTTGGATTCTATTAGCTTTGGCCGTTGCCTTAGCAGAAAATGATACTTCTTCCTTAGCTTCACTTTGGGTGATTCTCTCCAGTACAGCTTTCGTCTTCTTCTGCATTTTTGTTGTCAGACCAGGGATTTCATGGATGATTCGAAGAACCCCAGAAGGAGAATCCTTTAGCGAGTTCCATATATGCTTGATTCTAACTGGAGTTATGATCTGTGGCTTCATTACAGATGCCATCGGAACACATTCTGTTTTTGGAGCTTTTGTCTTCGGCCTGATTATTCCTAACGGACCGCTTGGAGTTACTCTTATAGAAAAACTTGAGGACTTCGTATCAGGGCTTCTGCTTCCTCTCTTCTTTGCCATTAGTGGGCTCAAGACTGACATTAGTTATATTCGCGGAGGCAGCACCTGGGGGATCATGATAGTTGTAATCGTCCTCGCGTTTGCTGGAAAGGTAGCCGGAACTCTGCTTGTTGCTGCAGTCTTTTACCAAATGCCAGTTCGTGAAGGATTCACTCTTGGATTGCTCATGAACACCAAAGGCCTAGTTGAAATGATTGTGCTCAATGTTGCCAGGGACCAGAAGGTACAACCCAGACTTACCATGTAATTAATCTCTTTGGTTAAAACTCCAATTTGGTCCCTCTACTTTGACAAAAAAACCATTTCTAGTCCCTCCACTTAAAAAAAACATGTTTCTAGTCCCTCTACTTTAAAAAACCCATTTTCGGTCTTTAAAGTTTGAAATCCAACTCCATTTTAGCTCCTTCGTTAAGTTTGAAGTTAGATAACAAAAATTTCAAAGGAAATAGACTAAAAAAAAACTTTTTTCCAAAATAGAGTAATTAAATTGAGGCTATTTTAACCCATTTCTAGCTTCTTTTTAGTCTTTTACTTTGAAATTTCTATTATCTAATGTACCACGTATGCAAAATATACAAAACTTTATGGAGGGATTAAAAATGGACAGATTTCAAACTTTAGGACAAAAAAGGGGCTTTTTTAAGTAGAAGAATTAAAAAAAACCTTTTACCAAAATAAAGGGACCAAATGAGGATTTAACCAATCTCTTTTGATTGTTTGTCTTTAAAAAGAATGGAAATATGATAAGACTTGTAAAACACATCATCGACTTGCAGGTCTTGGACGAGCAATCATTTGCGATGATGGTGATTGTGGCTATTGTTATGACTGCTATCATCACACCTATTGTGATATCAATATATAGACCAGGAAGAAGATTTATACCATACAAACGGCGAACAATTCAGAGATCAAAACCTGATGGAGAGTTGCGAGTGCTAACGTGCATCCACACACCGCGAAATGTCCCTACAATTATTGACCTTCTTGAAGCCTCTCATCCCACCAAGAAATCTCCAATATGCGTCTACGTGCTCCATCTGGTCGAACTTACTGGGCGTGCATCAGCCATGCTCATTGTCCACAATACCCGAAAGTCTGGTCGACCTGCACTGAACAGAACACAAGCTCAATCCGACCACATAATCAATGCCTTTGAGAATTTTGAGCAGCATGTAGGATGCGTCTCTGTTCAACCCCTCACAGCCATCTCTCCATACTCATCCATGCATGAAGATATATGCAACTTGGCAGAAGACAAGCGTGTTGCCCTCATAATCATTCCCTTCCATAAGCAACAGACAATTGACGGAGGGATGGAAGCTACAAACCCTGCACTTCGATTGTTAAACCAGAATGTACTAGCAAATTCACCCTGTTCTGTTGGAATTCTTGTAGACAAAGGCCTGAGTGGATCAACCCGCTTGGCAGCCAATCAAGTATCTCATCACATTGCCGTATTATTCTTTGGTGGACCAGACGATAGGGAAGCACTTGCATATGCATGGAGAATGTCTGAACATCCAGGGATTACACTTGCTGTTCTGCGGTTCATCCCTGGTGAAGAAGCAGCTGAGCCTGTGCAGCATATTAGTAATCTAAAAGACCCAACAAACCTATCAGGAGAATCTGTCGATGCAAGGGAGAAAAAGCTAGATGAGGAGATTTTGAAGGAGTTTAGAGTTAAGAATGCAGAAGATGAATCAATTATCTACATTGAAAAGGTGGTGAATAATGGGGAGGAAACGGTGGCTGCGGTAAGGACCATAGATAGTGCCCATGACTTGTTCATAGTTGGTAGAGGACAAGGGATGATATCCCCCCTCACAGCCGGGCTAACAGATTGGAGCGAGTGCCAAGAGCTTGGTGCAATTGGAGATTTGCTAGCATCATCGGACTTTGCATCAACAGTTTCTGTGTTGGTGGTGCAACAATATTTGGGAATAGGATCACATGAAGGAAGTGGAGCATCAGACAGCCCAACAGCTCTACCAGATGAGGATTACAACAGCATAGAGCTAATCAACAGGCGACCAACTCCACCAAGAGGGCAACCTGTGTTCAACCAGTAACACTATAAACTAAATCTACTCATCGGAGTGCTTCTGAAAAGAGGGTATTTCTTTTCCCATTATGGAAAAACATAGACCAAAATACAAGGTCTAAGAAAAGATCAAAGAAAAACACTAGCTGTTATATTTATCTTTACTAACGGCTATACCATTCTGTAGAGGGGCCAACTTTAGATCTAATTTTTGATTCTTTATTTGTAAAAAAATGCAGTCTTTTCTCTGTTTGTATAGTTCTTTAGGTATTTTTTTTTATCAAAAATTTTGCCTTTGTTCTGTCATTACAGGTTGTTGGTAAATAATTCATGCAAGAAGGAAATTGCAATTAAATGAACTTCGCATTCGTTCAACTCATCATTGCCATTTCAATGAATGAAAACAGTAAAATTTGGGAGATCAACCATAAAATTTAATTGTTCTCAACCATAGTGTGCGAATAAGCAAATTCTAACAATTCATTCCCTAACTTAAACCATGTTTCATAATAATAAGGATAAAACACTGCTTGCTTCAGCAAACAGTGCTACCACACAAACATGTTGTCTTGAAAAATCAAACAATAATCCTAAAACCAACTTCTTATCAAAGTGCAAGCAGAATTGATCCCATTTCAATTCCTGCAAATGCTTACTATTTCAATTTTTTGCATCTAACTTTGCAACAAGAAATAGATACACAATTTAAGGACAAAGATTGTTCAATAGATACACACAATTTAAGGAGAAGAAATAATTTCTAAAACAAAGTCCTAATCAACCTTGCATTTTTTACTAAAACAGAATACAAAGCAACATTTCACTTGATATACCTGATAAGTTAGTTCACAGGATTGTTAATGATGGTAATAAGTCTTCTGTGTACTCTACACAAAGCAGAACAAAAACCCAAAACTCAACACCCTCAACTTATGTGGGGGTGCGCCTTTAAGCTTGCTCCTAACAGTCCAAACCAAAAAATGAAAATAAAAACCTTAATGAAAAGACCACAAAGAAAGCAGCAGCACACACACAAAAAAGAACTCACCACCCTAAATAACACAACCAGCACTCTCCACTAAAACAGAAGAACACAAAGGAACAAAGTATCATAAACCTAAGTGCTAACAGACATTATCTTATGGTAAAAACAACACTTAGGAAAGTTAAGCTGTTTGGGGATTAAAAGAATAAACTCCAACAATTCTTGAAAATGCAAAATAAAAAGTGGTATATGAGGCATACCAAGAAATTGCAGCAGCCATTTAAGCTACCATGCATCCTTTGGCTAATTGGCTCATCTGGATTAGCAAACGGAAGTCAATGACTGGATTGTGAAGGCCAACAATTTCAGGTAGAGAAACATTTGGAGCACTGCCAGCACCAGGAACCTGTTTTTCCAACATAAAGTAATAAACAACCCATTGAAACATCCAAACACTTAATAACACTTCGATGAATTCTAACAAATTTAGTTAGGAAAAGTAGACGTAACCGAATGAAGTGGTATAGTACTATAATTTAAGTTAGAAATGCCTCTTCATGAACTGCACTTGCCACCAATACCTCAACAAAGTTCATTTCAGTATCTCCAATACTCAATATTTACAGTATAGCTGTCTAGTCAAATTATTTGCTGCTGGTATGATATCTGTTATCATATTAAAATCTACTTGGCCAAACCTAGCTTCCACATCAGATTGATTATTTACAGTATGCAAATCAATTCCACAAGCAACCATCTCTCACCAAGTAAGCCTTCTAAAGCCCTAAACCTATCTTCCACGTCAGGTTGATTAGATGATGGCTGCAGGGATTTATTGGTAGTGGCGGTCTTCCCTAAACAATGTACTTGGCCTTTCTTTACTTTAAACTTGTATTACACATCCTCTCACCAAGAATCGACTCCCACAGATTCTGAAGTCCCAGACTCACTGATGCACTTTTGGATAAGTTCCTACCAATGACAGATCTCCTTCTGGATGTTATACTTATACAGTTGATCATGTTTATCAAATGAGATGTGAACCATAATATGGCCTAGTCAAAGGAAGATACCTGCACAAATACAACATAAAAGTTCAGTAAAATGAATTTAGTTAATAGAATTGCAGGAAAAGGGGAATAAAACAGATAGAAATGTAGAAACTATTGATATAGAGGATAAAGAAAATTAGGTGAGAAACAATAAACATGATTTATGTGGCAATTAAGTTATCAAACTCCCAAATGTTCAACACAAGGATGATCATCCTTCCAAGACAAAGTAGTACTGATATTTACCAAAAATTCACTTCAGTCAAAAGTTGTCAACATGTTCTTGCAAATAATGCAAAAAATTGAATGAAGAGTTAAATGCAACCACATCCACTCTTCAAATTTTTATAGCATGCATGACCATAGCCAACTCAGTCTTTATGATAGCTTTCCCAGCCACTAACTCACAGATGGGTCCGGGATGCCTGCTGCTACAGAAGACTTAGAATACATTGAAACAAGTTATTTCCATACTCCAAAATCAATGGACTGAAGTGATATATGACCAAGATATAAATCCTTTAGATGTTTCTTACACAATCCAATTCGCCTCCTATTCAAGCTTGGATGAATACAGCTTGAGAACCCAGTATTCCATCCTGGAAATTTCTGTCTTTCCATTACATGGAGAGTATAAACACTTGGTGCTGCTGCTGAGCATCCCAGTACAAAACAATTGCAGGGCCGTGACTGGCTTACAATTCTTGCCAGAGATAGCAGACACAAACCACTATAAGAAATCCCATACATCAAGGCCTCATCAGTGTCAAAAGTGTTAGAATCTGACATTTCATGCTCCAGCTCTTGCTCTATCTCTTCAGTAGAGGGGATTCTACTCAGTTCTGAATCAAAACGTTTCTCTATTTCATTTTCATGAATTCTATATTTTGCCGCTAGAGTGCGAATGCATGATTTCCTCAATACTTTAGAAATGATGAGCTTTACCTCATTGAAGTTGTTGAAATCACGGTACCACCTAATCCAGCGACAGAAAATTCCTGAAAACCAATCAATAATTTGGCTGTTATCTTGTAAGATGAGCAGAGAGCTTGTGCGAGGGTATCCATCAGATGTGATCAATCCATATCGGAAGAGACACTTCTTTATGGCATTGACAGGAGCCACAATCTCAGTGATGACACATTCAGTATCCAAGCTTGAACTTGACAAAAGAGCCAAAGTAGCAGCTGTCTCAGAAGAAACATAATCATCCGCACGCTTTAGGAATTCATAATAGGAGTCCATTAGTTCTTGGGGAAGCGCTGGTTCAGCAACATACCTTGACAATAGAATTTTCTCACTCTCTGGTTCTTTGGTTTTAATGTCTTCCATCCATACTTTAAGCAAAACCTTAAACCAATGATCAGTTTCCATCCCAGTTTTACGAAAGGAAGAAATTTTAGTCAAATTAGAACCACCATCAACTAAATGCTTGATTTCTGACTCTTTGACCTTCCTTAAACCATGAGCCAACCATTTCTTCCCAATTCTAACTGTCCCTGCATTCCAGGCCTCTTGCTTCTGTGAAGCAAATAGCTTCACCTTTTCTTTTAACTTGTGAACAGCTCTTGTAGCAGGGCTTTCTTGCCTGCTCCTTTGAACCAGAGTTCCCAAAAAGCGAATTCCATGAAATTCATCACATGGTAGAATTTCTATTTGATCATCAACATCCAGGTGTAGAAAACTCTTCAAGTAATTTACAATCTCGGCCTTGAAACGAAGAGCAACATCTTTGGAACCAGAAAATGCAAAAAATATCTCATCCATAAAGCGGCAACAATGAACTCTTGGACCAGAATTATCGTTATCAGTGTATTTGAGATCTTTATCTTTTAGCTGTCTCCTGTACCAATTACGCAGCTTGGAATGGAACTTATCTCCAGCATCACCAAAGTCTGGATCCAGAGCTTCATATATCATTGACAGTCTGTAAAACTCATGATCAAAGAGGTCAAGATATATATTCATTAATACGGGTGATAAAACTCCCTCTTGAGGAAGGCCTTGGCCTTTTGGAAAACCACCAAACTCAAAACTTAACACATTAGCATCAAACATGCTTCTAATTGTAGCATATAACTGCATGTCTTCTATCTTGTCTTGCAATATCGAGATGAGCTTATTAATGATGCAAGCATCCACTCTTTTGTTTAAAAGCATTGTGAACCACCAATTAGGACAAGAGATCTCCTTGCTGATGTACTTCAACGCAGTAGAAGGTCCTCTTCCACTTCGACAGCCATGCGAAATTTTTGAGAAGTGGGGTTTGTAAACAACTTCCAAAACCATTCGAATGGCTTCCTGAACAATCCTAGTCCTCAGATTAGGAAGGACAAGAACCTCTTTTCTTGCACCTCTTGTTGAGACAGAGAAGGTATTTGCTTTGAAATCAAAATGCCCACAATGGAGCTCATCCACAATGGATTTGAAACAGATTCCATCGGCACTGTTTGTCATGTCAACATTTGAATTAAGCCTAATACAATTGTAAGCATCCTGAAGAGTATCTGGATTGGCAATCACTCTGGCCATTAGGTTTTGAAACTTTCCATTCACATATTGCTCCTTTACTCTCTTCTTTATGCGAAGTTCAAGAGACCTCTTTTCCTCCATTCTAGTCTTGGGTCTGCTATCATCAAGACTAGATGATTCCTCAACAAGAAAGGCCAGGTCCTTTGCTAACATTTTCTTGCAGCTTTTGCTTCTATCATCATTAGCTGCTGCAATGGTAGAAAATCTAATGCAAGTTTTCTCCCTTTTGATCCATCTTCCTGGTACAATATACAGAAATCATAGTTTTTAATTAAGAGACAAGGTACATTACGAGTGTAATATTTGATAACATCTATCTAGAGCACACCACCCCTACGAAAATGCAAGGATTGAGATAATTTCCTGTATTTATTGATGAAGGCTGAAGGCGGTTCTAATGCATTGAAGATCATATCAACAGATCTTCAATAAAGTAAAGAAGGATATCTTATCTAGTTAAATCTTTGACATAATTAATACCTTATTTCCATGTTTTCTGGGTACATTATGGCTAGAACATTTCTGAGAATTACGAAATATAAACATGAATAATTTCTGGATTACAACTTGAACCCCCTTTTTATTTGATAACCATCTAAACCTACCCACAGCACCTATACATATATTAAGTTAGACACGAATACCTTGAAAAACTTATGGAAACATACAGGTGCTAATCAGACACCTATTCCTAAAGGTCAAATCGGTAGTTTTGATTGTACGTTACAAATACAAATGGCAAGAACCTAAAAATGCCTATCTTACTTCATTTACAGGTTGTAGCAACATTAGAAATTTCAAAATCATCAAAAGATACGGGTGATACCCAAGTACTAAAAATGATTCTTTAGGTCGGGGAAGAAAATAAAGGAGCCCATTTCAAATGCTATGATAAATTACCACACTAAACACCAATTAAAATGCAAAAAGACAAAAAAAATATCTGTTACTTGTATATTCTGCAAACATCTTGACAGGAGAATCAATTCAACCATTGATTTTTCAAAATATTAACTATATTGAAATTATAAGTGTGTAAAAGGGTTCCTTATTCTTAAAAATGTGTAATTTGATCCTTATATACAAAAAATAAAAATAATAATAATAATAATAAAAAAAAGGCTCACCTGTGTCAATGACAAATGATGGGTTGGTTCGATGTAGGTTCATGCCTTGCACAAGGGGACATTTTATTAAGTTCCCATTCCAAACACTCAACAAGCCCACTAAGCGCATTGCGCTCATTTCAAGAAGTTTATGATACCTCTTGAAAAGTAATTCAACACAGCTCAAAATACTACCAGGACCCCGTTATCCAATCCACGCAATCCCTTAGCATGAATAAAAGGCAGAATGTTTTAGTAAGCAAATCTCAGTTTAAATGCATTCAGTAAAGCAATACAATGGTTAACTTACATTTAAGAATCGAACAACTAAACACGTGAAAAGCACATAAAGAGACATTTCAACAAACAGGTGGCATGCAATCGTTAGAGTTGGAGAAAGCAGCTATTGGGCGGTATATCTGCTCAAAAAAAGATACAAGAGATAGTTATACGCACCATGAAAGGAGCTATGAAAGCCTCAATGGAGGTACGGAGGCGAAACACAGCTGTAGTGTGTGGCTTCAGTGGCTTCAACGAATTTGGATTTTGCTGTGTGGTTGTTGTGATAGCCTGGCTGTTGTCCGTGTTCTTGATTGCTGAAGCGAAGAAACGAAAACAGAATGGTCGTTAGAGTCAGAATTTTTGCAGGAGCGGACGCCGCCGCTAATGTTTGTTGCAAGATTTGGATGGTCACCTTCACGTCGCCCCCATTTCACGGCTGCTGCAAAAACTGTAAGCCTTTTTTTTTTTTTAAATGTCATTTTTTAAAGTCCCTAAACTTTCAATTTTGAACATTTTTGGTCCTTAAACTATTTTTTACAATTTCTTGTCCCTCAACTATGAAAATTAATTAATCCATTAAATATATTCATATATACACATTTTTAGTTCTTATACTTAACAGACTAAACTAATGAAAGGACAAAAAAGCGCTATTTTCTTGTTTAAGGATAGAAAAAGTATAAAAAATAGTTTGAAAACTAAAAGTATTTAAAATTAAAAATTTAAGGATTGAAAATTGGTATTAATGTATTTTCTCACTCCAATTCTAGTGTTCATTTTGTTAGTCAATGAAAGGGTCAAATTATTGTTATGACCCTCAGATTCTTCTTCCTTGTTTTTTGGTTTTTTTTTTTTTTTGAATTTTAAAATAGAAAAAAGTATAATACAGTTTAAATTGCATAATATTTACCATTAGATAGGGGTGGGTTCCCAAATCAAATAGCACTTGTTTTGCAATCCGAATTGCAAAATAGGAGAAACAAAATTATCTTTAATAAATCAAAGATGCATGAAGATTTATTGATAATACTTTTACCTATTTTTGCCCAGACTAATATTTTAGGTATAGTTTGCCATGAACCCAAAAAAAAAAAAAAAATCTTTCTAATTTGGGTGATAGAGAAGTAAAGTTGAAAATTAATGTCAACCCATTTAATTATCAACAGTGGAACGAGCGAGAGATGGAAGGTATGACCTCTTTCTTTTCAATCCTAACAAAAAAAAAATTGTCTATACAATGATATTTAGGGTAAGACATTTGACATTTTCTTTTCTGACAACCTTAATTTATGCCTCTTTATCTCTAATTTTTTGAGAATTAAGGTGGGGTCCACGTCCAACCCCCTCTTCATGAAGTTACCCCATTGTCATTTCTCATTTGCAATTTACTTTTTTATTATTTTTTCAATTTCTACCTTTATTATAAAAATAAGAAACAACTGAATTGAAGAAAACTAAGAATATGTATAAAGATAAGGTGAAGCAAAGAAACAAGAAGAGAGAAGAAAGTATGGCAAATAATAAGATATGCTTCTATTTTTCTGTTCTTCCATTTCACCATCTACACTTCATACAAGCTTGCAAGTCTATATATAGGCTAAGAGAATGTGATGGTTACATTGATTGTTAAATGGAACTAAGTGGAGATATAAATAACACTAAGAGGACTATGAATGAAACGAAGTGGAGTTGTGATGAAGCTAAATGGAACATTGAATGGAGTAAGTGCGTAATGACCCGTAATTTCTTGATTTTAAATTTACCCTTAATTGTTCTTAAATGCTTAGAATGCAAATTTGGGGACCAAAGTGTCTATTTAAGCAAAGTTAAGTTCCTTGGGTAGAAAGTAATGAAATGTGGGTCTAGATGAGGCCACGGTATTATAGATTATATGTTATAGTCATATAGTACTAATTATACCTTAAGTTGATTAAAAATGCTTATTAATTAATAAAAAGAATAATAAGGGCATTTTGATCACTTTAAATATTGAAACTTACGAAGTGACATATTAGGACATAAAATATGTTATAATATGCATTCATACTCAAAATAATCATTAAGTGGTTTGTTTTAGTCTAATTAAGCTCGAGTTAAAGCCTAAAGCCCCCAAAAAAAAAAGAAGTTTGAGCCAAAGTTTAGTCAAAGAAAACAACTTCATTTATGACAATTTTGTAAATATAGGAACTATGTATATGAAAGGGGAAAGAAGAGAAAATAAACCAAAAAATTCTGGATTTTGGAGGAAACTCACCACCCTCCATTGGTGTTGTCCAAAGTTTCTCTTCCAACTTCTAATCTAGGGCAAAAGTGGGTGCTTTTCCAAGATTTTCAATGTGTTAAAGTCATTTCTTATAAGCATTTTGCTTGTAGAGATCTAGATTTTAAGTTATTACATGAATTAAATTCTAGAATTTGAAATGAGTTTGCTTAGATCTTGTTGGACTTAACATATATGATGCCTCTAATCTTGATCTATCTATTTATCATCTTTATTTCATGAATTGATGAGTGAATCTTGATTTAGTTCATTTATTTCTAATTTTGAGGTTTATAGAATTTTAAATTTGAAGTTACAGATAGATATTGGTATGTTATTTTAAGTTAGAATACAGTTTATATATTACTTTTAGTGTGAACATTGGAAACAAGGAAAGAAGGAAGAAAGAAGAGGAGTATTGCAAGGAGCGATCCCACTGTTTCCTCCCTTTCTCTCAATTCTCCATTTCTTCCTCCTTTTTACCAAAATTAAAGAATTTCCTAGTTTTGCCTAAAAGCTTGATTTAATGTCAATGTTGATTTAAATGCCATAAATCTTGTTAATTGAATTATTAGAACTTAAAAAGAGTTTCATGAAATGTTGAAGATTAGTGTGATATTAATTGTTATAATGCTTATGTTGATATGTTTTGTGGAGTTAAAATTGAAGATGACAACTCAAGATGGAAATATATATTTTGAAACCTTGGTGCTTAATGAACTTTGTAGTTAATCTAAGTAAATGTATATATTTTTACTATTCACGAATACTATTCAAAAGTACTGTTCATGTTACTATCCAATTAATTAATTAAGTAATAGTTTTGAATTTATTTCCCCTCTTACATTTATAATGCATGTATAAAGTTTTTAATGTAAGGTTTATCACTTAAAAGGAGTTTTTAAAAGATGTTTTTAAAATGTATTTCATAGCCTCCAAATCCAAATGATTTTGGGTTAAGTTTAAACTACAAAGTTTGTATAACATAACATTGATTTATCAATGTAATGAAGATATTTGGTGGATATAATTATGCTAAGTAGTTCTATTATCTGTTGAGATATTTATTTTATGTACTTATTGAACTCTTGATTTTTAACATGATTATGCTTCATAACTTTGAAATAGATACTTTGTGGAAAAGGGATATAGCATATAGAAGTTGAACTTAAATTCAAAATGTGAATATTGTTATGATATGCTTTGTGGTATATTATATTATTAAAACTTAGGTCTAATTTTGGGAAGATGGCCCATTTGAAATATAACGGGATTTTTTATGGATCGTTGTAAATATTTTACCTTGAGGTGCTCTTTGCATGGTAGAATGATGCATTCTAATGAATGACATGCCAAATTCAAGAGAGATAGGATGATGGGGGTATATTGGCTAGCTCATTCTAGTTACTCTATAACTATGAATATATATATAGTTTTATATTTTGTGACTTATTTGGTGGAAACAGTTTGGATTATACATGCTTAGTCGTATTGTAAACTCAAGTTATAAATATGATTTGATTGATTGAAATGATGTGTATGGGTATACATAAGTAAATGTAGTTAATGTATAGTTTGCTTATTTATATATACCTTGATTGTAAAATGTTTTATAATGCATTATATTTATTAAGTTTATAACTCACCAAAAGTTTTTGTTATGGTCTTTTTCCTCCCCCTATACTTAGTTCTTCATCTTTAGAGTTTCTTCTCATGGAGGAGCTATCACTCATTTCTCTTAAAGCTTGGTGGGTAAAGCTTAAATAGGTGGTGGTAATTTATGTATTACTAGAATCTTTGACCGTGATATATAATTATTTTAATGATTTATCATTATTTAATACTTCATGTAAAAACCATATATTGAATTTTAAATTATGGAGATCTCCAAACTTGGCATATGTTATAATTAAATGGAAACAAGTTGCATGTTTTAATGGTTTTTGCATGAAACCTTCTTTATATATATGTAAGCCCTCATGGCATATATGTAGATATCATATAAATATGAAAAAAATGGTGTCACAAAGTGGAAATAAATTACAAATGGAAGATAGAAGATGAAGATGAAGGTGCAATATCCGCCAATAGAAAAGTTCATAATACTGTGTTCAACCTTTTTATATGCGTTTTAAACTATCTCATTAAAATCCTTGTCACAAAAAACTTAGTGAGATAAAAATCATGATTAAGGGAAAAAGAGTATAGTGTGTATAAAGCTTTCTCTTACTTCAATAAATACCTTTGAGACAATGAGTTCTTATCTTTATTGCTCAAAAAAGATTTAGTATGCAATGATTTATTACAAAGATCTACAAGATTCTCACTAGAATTGTTTTTATTGAGTATCTATTTCATTAATCTTCTAGATCTTATATCTAAAAGAGAACTTTATTATATTAAGTTCTATCTCATTTGAAGTATCATTCCTTAATTTATTCAAAGCATATAGTATTATATTTGTATAGGAAGGTTGAATTTCTTGCAATTCTTGTGAAGCCACATTCCATTTTAAGCATATTGGATCAACTATCTTAACTATATGCATTCTTGACAAGCCTCAAAGAGTGCAACTATTCCTCAATGTTTTGAGGATGTGGCCATTACTATTTGCCTAGTTGAATGTTGGAAAATTGTGAAACCACCATACTTGAATAAATACATGCACTTTATCTTAATTTGAGAAAAATATTAGGTTAAATACCTTTTTTGGTCCCTCTACTATTGAAAAAAGTGCCTTTTGGTCCCTATACTAAAAAGAGCCACGTTTTGGTCCTTAAAGTTTAAAATCCGACCCCTTTTTAGTTCCCCCGTCAATTTTTGGTCACATGGCACATTATCTTAATGAGAACATCTGATGTGGATATTCCACCATGTAGAGGTGCTTATGTGGACTTAATAACACCCTTCCATGTCACTTTCTTTATGCCAAAAAAACCCTTAAATTCTCCATTTTTGTTTTTCAATTCCCTCTCTAGAAATCATATTCCTTCTTTTGAAATTCTTAATGAACCCTTTACATGTGAGA